ACCTTACTCTTTAGGATTTAGCATCAGGACCCTGCCTACCTTACTCTTTAGGATTTGGTATCAGGACCCTAACTACCTTACTCTTTAGGATTTAGTATCAGGGCCCCACCTACCTTAGTTCTCCGGATTTCTTCCCCAACCCCGTATACTATGGCTGACACTGCACTGCAAAACCCCAGAATGGTGAGAAACAGAATCATCGCCACAATTTCCTGTCGAACAACAAATAGAAAGGTAATTAGCATCACATGGCAGGAGCCTCAAAAGTTTATTCCTTATAGCAGCCTCTGCTTTTATCCCTCCCACATGGTCAGTCCTTATAAAGTGAAAATACATGGGAAAATCAGATAGTTGTGCATAGCAGATACTCCAGCCTTGAGGAATTGGCTGGGGTGGGGAGAGCAGGCCGCCAGCATCTTCTGCGTGAGCCTGCAGAATGTTATACTTTGTGATGGAGGCTGCATAAAGGGGCAGTGCTCCTGATGAAGGAAAACGGGGCTTCTGACTTAGATCAGGACCCCAAATCTTAGCCATCCCACATACAATGAAGAAATACATACAATGGAAAAAGAAGCCAGCAGGCAGTCGTCATCAACACCAGAAACCACTGGGCAACTGTCGTAGATATAAGCCAGGCTCTTCTTGAGGTTGATGAGCAGGATGACAATTCCTATTCCCCCAGCTATGCTGCTGCCAGTGTTTGCCCCCAGGCTTCCCCTCACCTGATGATAAAGAAGAACAAACACTCTGATCTGGGCCCAGACCTGTGAGCACATTCAGTAAACCTATCTGGGTTTCAGGGCTGGAAGCATCCAGGAAACTGCATTCATTTGATATTTGAGTGAAAAAGAAAAATCTTAAAAATGTATTCATTGTTTAATAAGTATATATTACTTTCTTGCTGGGACTGCATTCAGGAGCCACATGGGCACACAGGGACTCTTCTCAATCTCCTTAATTGAAAATAAATCATTTTTTGGTCATATGCATTTATCTACAAGGATGATGCTTAGGGATAATTTTTTAAAATAAGTGTCTAAGTGATTAAACGTCATTGTATGTCAAGTTATACAATTTCTGTTTCAAATGATCATATGCAACTTCTATTGCAAAAGGGCTTCCAACTCAAAACAGATTGAAAAAAATCACATGGCCACGTTCACTGATAATATAGCAGATGAAGACGTGTCTTCCCTCAAGACTCCGGCAATTCTATTATTCTTAGCTTCTCAAGGATGGACAAAGACAGAATTGCAACTCACCAGATATGCTGCCTTTTTCCTCTCAGATACAATCAATAAAAATCCAGAAGTAGCAAACTGTTCAAAAGGGAGAGAAGGGCAAAAACATAGTGAGTCTCTCTGCGTCAACTTCTCCCTTTCACCTCCTTTCTTAAAACATTGTGGGTACTCTATCCAGCTATCTGTTAATGCCTTTTGTGAACCCAGAATTCCTTATTCTTATTTTGTTTAAAACCCTTCCCCCAATTAAATGTGCATAAGAATTATGTGGGGCTCTTGTTAAATTGCGTCATTCTTGGGGTAGACGTAGTTCAATAGCATCTGGTATGTGAGTCTTTTATTCCACTGTTTTCATTCTGTTATAATTGCTTGGCTTGTATGTATATCCTCTATGTTAGACTGTAGGGTCCTCTGGGCTAGAATTGTGTTTGTGGTGTATATATCTCCAGAGTCTAAAATATGCTTTCTATAATTATAAATAAACTTGCATTTGCTAGGAGACTGAAAATATAAATGATGAAAGATTAGGAAAAATATAAGTCCATAGCACAAAGTCACAACAATTTCTTAGGCTCGGCACCTGTGGCTCAAGCAGCTAAGGTGCCAGCCACATACCCTGAGCTGGCGGGTTCGAATCTAGCCTAGTCCCGCCAAACAATAATGACAGCTGCAACTAAAAAATACCCAGGCGTTGTGGCCAGCGCCTGTAGTCCCAGCTACTTGGGAGGCAGAGGCAGGAGAATTGCTTGAGCCCAGGAGTTGGAGGTTGCTGTGAGCTGTGATGTCTACCCAGGGTGACAGCTTGAGGCTCTGTCTCCAAAAAAAAAAAAAATTTCTTAAAGACTCAGATTGGGTGACAACTAATAAGGTAAGTGTTGGGAATGATAAGACATTAGATAGAGGTTTCAAATGTAATATTTGGCATGAGGAGAGTTCTGGACAAGTGATCCACACACTAACTGCTTAGCAGAGTACCAAGCCAATGTGATATATTTTAGAGTTAAGATATATTCTTCCAAAGGTACTATGGAGAAACTACATGGATAAAAAAAGCAACATGGATAATCACAAAATAATAATGTAGAGCAAAGGAAAATGGCCAGTAAAGAGAGCATGGTGTATAATTCTATTTAAATAAGTCTCCTAGCAAATGCAAGTTAATTTATAATTATAGGAAGCATATCGGGGGGTTTGAGGCTGAAAGGACGAGGAGTAAAGGGAAAGAAGCAGGGCTACAAAATAACACAGAGAAATTTTCCGGGCTGACGAATGGTAATATTTTTACGCGTGTATACATGTGTCAAAAAATATCACATTATACGCCTTAAATATTTGCAATTTATTTAACATCAGTTGTGCTTCAAAAAGCTATATATCCTTGTGAGCTCCTTCAGCCATCTGTTTCCTAGACAGCATAGTGATTAAAAGCGTCTCCCTGAGGTAGCCCCGAAAAGAGTTTCTAGGGCATAGAAATTTATCAAATTCCTGTTTACTTTGTTTTTTTCATTTGGGGATCTTTTTACCTCCCTTCCTGAAGATAGATTTTTAATTATTTTTCTAATTAATGATAAAATTATATGTACTTATAATGTAACTTTATTGATGAATAAATAGTGTTAGTGATATTTTTCTGGAATTGCATTCCAAAAGTTTAAGTTCAGTTTCTGTTAGGTAAATGACCCTTGGCCAAGTCATTTAACTTTTATTAGTCTCACATTTCTCATCTGATGAAACTGTGGGCTAACTGTTCTTGTTGTAATTACAGTTAATTGCAGTAAGAATCCTTTGTTGCTGTTGTTGTCAATGAACACACATAAGTAAAGAATTATAAATATCAGCTTCATACTGGAGATAAACAACTGGTTAGATCTGAGTAAGAGAAAATCTATGTTCAGTGTGATTTCAGAAACAAATTATAGATATATACTCACAAATATTGCTCCCCAGAATGGATAGCCTACTTTAAATGATGAAAAAACATCTTCCTCCAATTCAGAAATACTGAGTACAATGCAGACAATTGTTCCAAAACAAAGACATATCAAACCAATCAGAATTTGTGTTACCTATTGAAAAACACATAGGTTTTGTGAAATTAGATATTTTTCTGAGATTGTATCAATTTCTCTCTCTCTCTCTCTCTCTCTTTTTTTTTGATACAGAATCTCACTATGTCACCCTTCGTAGAGTGCTGTGGCATCACAGCAAGGCGCAGCAAACTCAAACTCTTGGGCTTAAGTGATTCTCTTGCCTCAGCCTCCCGAGTAACTGGGACTACAGGCGCCTGCCACAACACCTGGGTATTTTCTTGCTGTAGTTGTTGTTTAGCTGGCCTGGGCTGGACTCGAACCTGCCAGCCATGGTGCATGTGGCTGGCACCATTAACCACTGTGCTACGGGCACTGAGCCTCAATTTCTTTTTGAGGCCAAATATGAAAATTGCTTTAGTGTATTATTCTGTCCTGAGAAGTGATTAGAATGTAAGATTTTCCAGTATCCCTAGGATCCTATAAAAATTGTTGTGAGCACCACCTTGTGCACAGACAGGCAATACATTTCTCATGTGCCTTCATTTGCATAGCTATGCTGGACATTAATAATTGTTCTTTCCATCTTCCCACTTCTATTTGCAATTCTTGTAATAGTAATTTTAGGTCTTTATGAGGAAATGCTTTTCTCTTCCCAAAAGGGCTGAATGGGAGTCTACCCTTGATCTACCAGGTTCTTTAGAAGGCTGTTTCTCCTCATGAACCCAAGTGGGAAGATAGTTGATACAACCAAATATTTCCTTTTCTAAAGAAACCCTTATTCTGGCCCAGGTCAGAGGATGCTCACTCACCCCCAGGAACTCCAACTCATTTTTTAGAAATGTCAGCCACGTATGTTGTGGTGGGGACTTCTTCAGTAGAGTATTCTCATGGAGAGATATTTCTGAGAGGTCAGGTTCAGGCACACTGTGAAATTTGATAGAAATTCAGTCATGAGAAAATTCTCCAGTGCCCTGTACAAAGTTCCTAATAGAAAGGAAACTTTATTTTTTAAAAATAATCCTGTAACTGAAATCTTCATTGTAATGAGTAAGAAACTAAGGCTCAGAGGCTCCAAGCAACTCACCACAGACACCTAAAATGCTAAGTGACTACATGGAATTACACGGAAAAAAAAAAGCCACCCTTCCTTCTCTTAACCCAGGGTTATTTCCAAGTTCTTTCCCATTGATCTATATTGATAAGTATATTTATCTATGCATCTCACAGTCCTTTTAACATAGAAATCCATCTGAATCTATTGTGTCAATGACAAACTCAACTTCAGATGCTCAGAGTAAATGAATGACTTTGAATGGCTAGTCAGGTCTCTATTACTGTTTTCTTCTTCAAAGCAGCTTCCCACAGCTTATAGTTCATAAAGACCAAACAGGGAGATGGTTATTTTATAAGGCATCTGTGAAAGTATGCATGAGAAATACGTGTCTCTCAGCACATTTTAGAGGTAAAAGATCTACATGGTATGAAGTCAACTGCCTCATACCCAGAACATGAGCTTCTAGGGTGAGAAAACCTGTTATTCCCAGTTCACAAGCTAAGAAAAATCTTCTTCTTCATGACTGAGAGACAATCACTTGGAAATTATAGCAAAAAGCTTCTTTATACCCAATATATTAAGTAAACTAAATCCATGAACTGTCATATCCCAAGAACTGAGACTGTGGCTTTCTCTGGCCCACTAGGTGACTGAGAATTTAAAATAATAATAATAGCCTGTACCTACCTGGGAGACCACTCTGGGTTTGGGAGAGTGAGCTCTGCTCTGCTCTTATTTTCGGTGTCCATTTTTTCATGAACTGGGCTGTCACAGAGGGCTCTGGATAGTCAGTTGAAATGGGCTGACTCATGACACTGATGCCTATCTTCATACAGAAGCCATTTGTTGAACTGATAAGTCTCCCAGCTGATTAAGATCAACAGTTTTTCTTGTTATGATAAATAGAAAAATTGATAAAGCTACTAACTAGGGATTAGTATGAAATGAGGAAGTTTGGGACTTGTGGAGCGTAATTCTTCCTGAGGTTTCTACAAAACCTAAAACATGAGACTTCTTAAGGGGAGTTGAGAAGGTGAGAGAGAACTGAAGAAGAAAAAGCTCTCCGTGCCTCTTTTCCAGATCCTTCTTGTGCCCCAGCTCAACCATTTCTGCATCAGACGTTCTCCAATTTCACCTTTGCAAAGCCTTTTCCCTCTTTACGGCACACTTGGCTTCACGTGTAGACCTCAGACCAACGCACAATTCATACCTGTGAGGAGTGTGTCTCGGTCTCTGAATCTCTAGACCAGTGATTTTCAACTGGTGTGTTGTCAGAAGCTCTCAGGTGTACCACGAAAATTTTTAAAGATCATAAATTAAATTATTTCCAAAAGAAGTTCAAAGCACAATAAGTATATTCTTTTTTATTTTTTTTTTAAAAATCAAAATAATTTAAGTGTACTGCAGAAGCTTAACTATAGATAGGTTCAAGTGTGCCAGGAGATAAAAAAAAAAAAAAGGCTGGAAAATGCTGCTCTAGATTTATCTCCAACTTTAATGTTTATTGTCTTTCTTTTCCTTTTGGACACCAGCTATATGACTCTTTGTAGCAGATGGTCTCAGAAAGGGGCACAGTTCTAATTACCGAAAAACATACCTGATAGCATATAAAAGCCAAGACTTTTTCACACTAAAGACTCAACTGTCTGCTAAGACATTAGACTAACTCACTCTGCTTGAATCTTCATTAATGGCAGGAACAGCATGATGAAAGCCCCAAGCAGTGTGAACTTGATAGCAAATCCCATGAGCGAATCTAAACAGTAAGCCTAAATTTTGGTTAGAGCCAAGCCAATGTGTTCATTCTAAGAGCTTAACTAGCTAGATCATAGCAAAATGGAGACAGGTAGATTCATAGGTCTGAATCTCTTTTATTTCAGCTTAATTATACACATAACATTGAATGGCTCTTCAATAACTTCAAGATACTACAAATTATACCCCTAATCACCTGTTTTTCTGGGGTGGGGATAAATTTTTTCCTCATGGAAGACTAAGATATTTGCATGAGCAGAGAAATCTAAAAGACTCTGGCATAACTTTCATAGTGAAAATGTAGAAACCCAGGTGCCATCTCCCCACTGTCTTCAGCAATGGATGGATCTAACTAAGGTACTATTAGAATTAAAAAATAATCCTTATTCACTGACACACTCATCCAAAAATGATGGAATGTTCCACTCGGGCACTGCTGTTATCACTGAGCGTGCACAAATGAACGCCATGGTCCTAGACCCTGTCCAGCTCACAATTAAGCAGGGTAAAATAAAGATAAGGGATAGATAATACATGTATTATTACTCAATATGACAGAGGCTGGAGGCTGTTGGGACACACAGGAAGGCATAAAAATTCTGCCTGATAAGTGAGATGTAAAGTTCAGGGAAGGAATTTTCGAAGAAGGTTAAATTTGAGAACCCACTTAAAATGAGAGCTTCAGGACTTTCCATTTGCTTGTCTCTCTCTCCATGAAATTACCCCACACCTGTAGGAAAAAGTCCTGAAGTAATGGTCCCGTGTGGTGTTTCCTAGAACAGTTCATTATGTGTGTATTAAATAATCAGGAATCACATTTGAGATCTAGACAGGAAACAGATGGAAGGTGGTCTTTAGTGTCAGGACATGCTGCTATTTTGTGAGAATTTTCAAGAGAAACTTGCAAATCAGAACCTCGCCCTTCATGACCTCCCAGTTGTTTCATATCCCAGTTTTCACTAGCACCTTCTTGCCGCTTCCTCAGGTGCTTCTCATTTTCGGTGCCCACACTTTGCTACCCACAACCCCATTTTCATCTTTGACAATAACAAACATTGAAACATGTGACAAAATGACTTTTCTCCCCCTTTGACTTGTCAAGATGAGTTTTAACCTACCGTCACTGAAAATGGAGAGAGAACAGAGACAACCCTCCTCCTCCACCCATATCTTGTCTTCTCCGGGGACACGCCTTTCAGCTTTTCACCCCCTCTCCTTCTCTAGCTTCCCCTTCGAAACACGTTTCTTCTTTTAGTTATACGCTAGGTTTATTTCCCCAAACCCTAAATAAATTTGCTTTCAGATCTCACACGAACAATTGTTTTCTCAAACTGCATGCTCAATGTACTGAAGACAATGTATTATATATACATTTGTGCCTATTACAAATGGAAATGTATACGATCTCTTAAGGAAGTATTTTCTGATACTTTCAAAAGACTCAGCCTCTGTCCATCTCTCTCTCTCTCCCTCACTCAGCTCCTCCCCCTCCCACTTTTTCTCTTTCTCTCTCCTTTCTACAACCCAGAGCCAAGAATAGGCTCCATAAGGATGCCTGAGAGGCTCAGCCAGCCTGGGACTGACAAGTTCTAGTGTTCTATGGGAAATTCAATTTCAAAAATGAAGGAAATGAAGCATTGCTCTCAATGCAAAAAAGCCTAGGGCTGAGTCCAAACTTGAAGAGAAAATCTTTGTATCTTAATTTATATGACTTCAGAAAGGCAAAGAGCAAAGTTTATATAGATTATCCTGGTGCTTATAATCTCCTTGAATTCTTTCTATCATTAGAGTTTATCGGCTTTTGCAGCCTCTGGTCCTCTTACCTGCCAAGGTAATTGTCTAGCTCATGTTAACTCTATCTGCTCAAACCACCTCAGTCTTCAAAAGTGACACTTTACCAAAGGAAAGTAACAGGCATGTAACATATTTGTTTTCTTATGACCAAGAACATCTGCTCACAGGGAAAAGGATAAGATACCCAGTATCATAGGGAAGATGTAGACATTAGCTGTCCCATTCCTATTTTGAATAATTAGCATGCTAGCATTTTTACAGTCACATACCAGTGAGGGCAGGTGTTATGAATTGTCTTCACATGTATCATGGTCCACCTTAACCAGCTGTGTGAAAACCCTTCTGAAGGGTCAATTCCTGCCCCCCAATACAATACAATAATACCAATACAATTACTTGGTATTAATTGGTATGCGACTGCTCTTAAACCCATTTTTCCTTCGGCCCCATCTTCCTAATATAATTATATCTGAATGTTTAGTCAAATCCATTTTTATTATTCTCAGTAGCATCCTAAAATTTTTAAGAATTTTTATTCTTTATTGGCTTGTTTTTGAAAGCATGTTATCTTACAAAATCTTCAACTGTTGTTACCATTTGCCTGTCAATGCTCTTTTTCCCATTGCTCACCCTGAAGGATAATGTATCACATTCCCCACCCCTCGCCCTCGGAGCCACCTATATGGTATCTCACCTTGTATTCCAACCGGCATTCCTCTCCAGATCCGCTCAGCTGTCATCCTAAGACTTCTCACGGCCCTGCCTTATATCACATTCCCCTTGATCCCATTTCTTGTCTTTCTTAGCATACTGGTGAATGTTAGCAGAAATATTCTTCAGTTACATCCTGAGAAAGTATCTGGGACAGAGAGTTTTGAGAATTTGCTGATCTTAACATTTCTTTTTTATACCCTTTAACTGAAGTCTAGCTCAGTAGAGCATTGGAACTCAAAAACTGAGTTCCAAAATCATTTACTCCATTTTGTTCTAGATTCCAGCTTCTTCCTAATGAGGGAATGAAAAGACTGGACCATGAGTCCAATGTCCTAACTTTTCTGGAGGTGCCAAAACACTGAGGCACTTACCTTGTCTTGCCTATTTCAGGCAAGTGCAGGCAGGACTGGCATACTCTGGACACTTGAGGCCACTGAGAACAAAGTTGCATATTGAAACAGCAAGCTAGCACATGCCACAGCCCTCCTCCTGGCTCAGGACAAAGCAAGGCAAACAAAAAGAAGAAAAAAAAAAAAAACTCAGCTCCTAGCCTCACCCCAGGAGAGAAAGAAAAGAAGTAGATTCTTGGTCTGACAGTCTGATTTTCTGGGGCCTTCCTAAGGGGCTTGCTTCTGCCTCAGCACTGACAGGCCCCGAGATCACAGTTCCTCATATTGTGGTGGTCCCCAACCATAAAATTATTTTTGTTACCACTTCATAACTGTAATTTTGCTACTGTTATGAATCGTAATGTAAATATGATATGCAGGATGTATTGTCATTGACCAGGACCCACAGGTTGAGAACTGCTGCTCTTGATACTATGGGGCCACTGTGAACACAACAGTCTGAGCTAGCATGTAGGCTAGAGAGGGTTCTAGAGTCTCTGTGCTCTAGTCTCTGTGGCCAACTGGTGATAGTTTTCTCTTACATGAGCCCAGTCTACAAAGACTAGGAGAGGTGGCTGTTTTATCAGGTGTGCACACTCCCACAGAAGACAGGGACACACACTCCCCCAAAGGAGATGAGATGAATTTGATAGACAAATCAGAATAGCCATCATAACAATGCTACATGAGGTCGGGAGAGAAATGCATGAACATTAGCAAAGTACCAATATCTTCATAAATAGAAAAATATTTAAAAGCACCAAACAGAAATCACAGAGCTGAAGAATATAAAATGTGAAATGAAATCTAATAGATAGATTCACAGCAGACTAGATCACACAGAAGGAAAGATCAGAGAGCTTAAAGACAGTGCATTACAACTATCCAGAGAAACAAAAAGGAAAAAAGAATAATAAAAAAAAAAGAACAAGAACAAAAAGACATAGGGCTTATGGGACATCATTAGATAGACCAATGTATGGATTATGGGATTTGGGGATAAAGAAGAGGGGCAGAGAAAAAAAGCTTATTTTTAAAATAATAGAGGAAAACTTTACAAATCTAGGGAAGGAAATGGGCACCCAGAAAGCTAGTGGCCCCGAGATAACATACAAAAGATATCCACACTGAGTTACATTATAATTATCAAGGATAAAAGGCAAAAAGAGAATTTTGAAAGCAGCAACAGAAAAATTTCTTTTCTCACATTCAATAGCATCTCCATAAAATTAGGAGATTTGCCAGTAGAAACCTTGCAGGCCAGAAGTAGGTGTAGTGGTCTTCAAAGTGTGGGGAGAAAGGGAGAGTGAGGGAGACTGCGGGAACTGGGGGAGGGAGGGGAGAAGTCCTGCCAATCCAGAATGCTGTTTGTTCTTGGAAAAACTGTCCTTCAGAAATGAAGGAGAAATAAAGACTTTCCTAGACAAGCAAAAGTTGAGGAAATTTATCACCACTAGACATGCCTTGCAAGCAATGCTAAAGAGGGTTCTTTAAGTTGAGGAAAAAAAGATACTCAAAAGCAACACAAAAGCCTAGGAGGCCATTCTTGCCCCTTCTATTCAACATGGTACTGGAAGACCAACACCTACAGCAGCATTATCATCAAGCAGTCATGGTGATATTTCACATATTCTTTATTTTCATCATCTTCATAACAAGTGAGAAAGTAACTGATTCGTTTTACAGATGAGGAGAGCTAGGACAGAGAGATAAAGCAACTTGCCTAAGTTCAGAGAGGTAATTAAGTGACAGTGTCAGGATTTGAACCCAGACTATCAGATTCTAAAGCCCTTGTTGTTACTTCTCTGCTTCAAGTTTCTTAAGGTCCTTTTAAAACTCACTGTTGACCTTGCTCTCCAAGTCCGCAGTTTAAACCACCACTTATGTATCAGGGCATGTGTGAGCTCCAGAAACTGAGTGAAACAAAGTCTCCGAGACTAAGCCCTCTCACCTCAAATGTAGTGAAAATCTGTTTCAATGATGATGATAATTTTTTTTATTTAATGGTTTTTGTAATGCTGATGTCAGCTAAGGTCAAGAAGCATTTTTCTATGATGAAAAAAAAAATAGTTCATTTTTCCTTCCACAGACGGTTGGAAGTAGGATTTAGGGAGAATACATGAAATAGGGGTTGCACTACCTACCACTTCCCTTCCTCAAACCTCATGAAGCAATGGAGGAGGTGGGTAAGAAGAAAGAGGACCAATGACTGGAAACACCTGTGGGGGAGTGATCCTAGGAGTTACCAGCCCAAGAATGCCAAAAGAAATATATTTGTCTTTTCATACCTAGAACACACTAATGGGATTTATAGTCAGGACAGAAAGGATTGAGTCAAATGTCAAAGTTTCTTATAAATGGTGCCATAATGGGAGGATGAGTCTCACGAGCTTTTGTTCTCCTGAGTTCTTGGTTGAATCTCTGCCTCTTTGGAGACTTAAGGTTGAATTTTCATGCTCTCAGAATTGCTTCATCAGGAGGGTATTTCTGATTCCACAGAATTGGGAGGCGAGGAAGTAGCCTTGAAAATAAAACAACATTAATCCCTAAGAACCGGATAGTCAACTTTCTTTCTTCCCATCACTTCCTACTTATCATCACGATTGTCACCAATAATATTTATTTACTGATTATTATTATGCTAAATACGGTATGAAGATTATATACATGGTCCTCACCAAAACATCAGAAGAGAATAAAAACACTTTTTATTTTCTAGTTTAGATACCTAAAACCTAGGGAAACACCCCTTAGTATTTCCTGGGTCATAAAGTGACAAGTTGTAAGAAAATAACTAAATTTAATTCTAGCCGTATAAACCATAGATGCTCTTATATATTAAATACACTGTTTGCTCTTGTATTTTAGCATTCAAATTCTTTTTTAGCCTTCATTCCATATCACTATTCACAAAATCTAACTCTAGGAACTCTACAAATAAAGTAGACTACACATGAGGTCTGATAATTAAGTTCACAAACTCATCCTAGGAAAAGTGCTACATCCCTCATTGCTGAATATGACTATGGGCACCTTTGAGGTACTGCCCTTGGGAAGCTTTGCTCTGATGCCAGTGTCTAGTCTACCTTTCAAAGCAATTTTGGAACTCTTTTTCTGGAATGGCCATTGGAGTTGTCATTGTATTATCTTTGTTGTGCTGAATGTCATAAAAATGTCTTCCTTTCAATATTTCCTTTAGCTCCAGATAAAAAAAAAGTCACTGGGGGTCAATTAGGTGAGTAGGGAAAGTATTCCAATACAGGTAATTGTTTACTGGCTAAAAACCTCCTCACAGATAGTGCCCCGTGAGCTCTTTGCTTTTGTTCATTGATGAGCTCCTTTGGGCCCATGTTTTCACATACTTTTCTTATCTCTTTTAAGATTTTCCTAACTTTTTCTCTACTGATGTTTACTTTGTCTTCTATACTCCTCACAGTCAGCCAACGATTTTGATGCACAATTCAATGAATTTTTGCAACTGTTTTCATCAGTTCTGATTGTTACTGGCTGCCCCCACCACTCTTCATTCATGACGCTCTCTCCCCTCAGAAAAATGTTTAATCTGCTTGTATGCTGCCATTTTCTTCACGCCATTATTCCCATAAACTTGGACTAACCTGTCCCTGATTTCACTTCCACTCTTGCCAAGTTTAATAAGAAATTTAATGTTTGTTTGTTGCTCTATTCAATCTCCACATTCTCACAATGGCACAGAAAACATACAATAATAATGAACAACACTCAGCAAGACACAGCCACATGTCTACACAAGCACAGCTGAGAGACACTGATATACCGAAGTTAAGAAGCCTTGTTGAGCTGTCTGTATTGTGCTGCCAACGTGGGCACACAGTGGCAAGTTTGCAAACTTAATTTCCAGAGCTCATCATTTTCTGTTCGAGAGTCAAAACAGTGTCAAACTCTAGAGAGAGATTTGCAGACCATGTGAATCATTAGCCATTTTAACAAACCCACCTCTCTCAAATCACAGCAGTTGGCCTTGCACCACATGGCTGAGAGAGTGATGGTTATGCATAGCTCCAGCAAGGTGAGAATCAGCATTAGAGACACCAGGCCCTAGGGGAGACAACAACTCGAATCAAACCTGGTAGAAACATTCAGAAAAAACCAGACTACCATAGCTCCCTCTCACGAAATGAAACTAAGTGAAATATAAATTACATTTAAGGCACAGAGGTACATGACATTATAGAAGGAATGCAGTCTCAATCTTAATACATGAAAAAATTTTCCTGGAAGCAAGAGAGATGTCAAATTTCTGTATCAAACCATGTGAAATAACCACTGGGAGAAGCTGTGGAAACAAAACTGTAATGTTATCACTAACATCTACCAATCTGAAAAGCAGAAAGCTAAGGACACAAGTAGCAGTTTAAGAAAAATGGACAAAAATGACTTTAGTATTTTATAGGGGTTTATGTATTTAAGTGTAGTATTATCCCTAGAAGCTTTTACCCTGATATTAACACTAAACTGATAAAAATATAAAGTAAAATTATTGCTGGGCTGTGATCCTTCTATTATTACTAAGGCACCTAAGATAAACAAATACAAAATAGTTCTAGAAATAAAATGGTGCAAAATCCACACACACACAAATCAGACCTAGATAAAAATATAAATGTAGGTAATTAAAAACATAATAAAAAAATGAAGACACAAACCACCATGAATAGAATTAGAAAATAGGAAGCTTAGGAGTGAATCAGTAAATAGTAGTTTACAGATTATAGACCGTCAGGTGAAATAGACAATTTCAAAGGAAAATATTAAATTGTAAATTGACCTCAGAAGAGGTAAAATACCTAAACACAAACAAAAAATAATTTGGGTTATTAAAGGGCTTCTCTTTTAAAATACAATATTCAAAAGAAATTCAAACGTAAAGTTATTTGAAACTTCAAGTTATTATCTGAAGATTACAGACCACAGAGAAAGTTGTAAATCTCTCAAGTTTGTTTTATTAAGCAATGAGATGTGAAATAAAATTTTTTTTAATGTAATCTCTCTGGGGAGTGATATAGCAATAGAGGTAGCAGTATTAGTTATGGTATCATAATACCATAACATGATAGCTAAGCCCTGTTTTAATTGCTTATCCCATATTATTTAATTCTCACATCAGCTCTATGGGATGGGTACGATTATTACTCTCACTTCAAAAATAAGAATATTAAGACACTGAGAGGTCATCTAACTCTCCGTTATTGCAGAGCTAACTGGTGGCAGACCCAAGATTTAACTCAAAGTAGCATGATAACTGATTTGTTTTTTCTGCACATTCCAATTGTTCAATATACTTTATGATTAAAAATATTTTTCAAAAACATACATTTGATGAGGAGCCCGTGTAGAGGCATAAGTCCGGAGAGTTTGAAGAATAACAACTCTTGATTGCCTGGCTGTTAACTGCTAAATTTATTGAGAGTAAAACAATCCCAACTAGTGCAATTATAGCACTGGCAATGTTCATTCCAAAACTGTTTTGCATCTAAAAAAAGAAGAAGAATTTTCAATTAACAGATGCAACTTCACTCCCTTGGTAACATTTTATTGAAGCAAACATTGATAGAATGCAGTGTACACACCCAGCAGTAGCCTAGATACCAGGTAAACATCAATGAACAAGCAAAGATATCCCTCCCCATGGAGCTTACATTGTAGCATTAAAGACAAAGAAAACAATAAAGAGACCATGTAATAGGTAATTATATGACATTTTTGAAAGTGGTTAAGCACTATGGGCTAACAGAGTGGGATAAGGAGCCCGAAAATCCAGACAGAGGAGTGGTATTAATTAAGAATGACACTTGGGACAGCATGAAGGGGACGAGGGTGCAGCTAGCCAAGAAGATATTTGGAGGAATGTCCTTGCGGTCAAGAGAACACTCAGTTCAAAGCCCTGAGGCCAGAATGTTCCAGGGAAGCAAGGGGGCCATGGTGGTTGGAGGCAGAAAGACAGTTTTAGAAAATGAAGGCAGTTAACAAGGAGTCACCTCTGTAGGTCACAAAAAGGACTCCTTTTCCAACTTCGAGAAAAATACAAAGCCAATGAGGAATTCTGAGCAAACAAGTTATACACTCAGATTTATGATTTAAAGGGCTCACTCTGTTTCCAAAGAGACTGGTAAAAGAGGTTCAAGGATGAAAGCAGTTAAGAGAGAAAAAGTAAGTTGGATGAAGTGTCATCAGCAGAAAGACCAGATAAGGTGACAGCTCTGATAGAGCTTGAAGGAAGAGCCACACAGAATCTGCTGAACAGTTTGATTCAGAATTGTGAAAGAAGGAAGATTCAGAAATATTGTAAAGCATTTGATCTGGGAATCAGGAAAGATGGAGTTCCCATCAGCTGCCGTGAGGCTGACTATACATGGAGAAGGTTTCGGGAAGAAGATTAGGAGTTTTGCAGATTTTAAACATCTGAGTGGAAGTAATTTTATACACGCCAACCTGAAGCTCAGGAGAGAAATCTAGGCTGGAAAATTTACTTCAGGGTCCTGAGCATACAGGTGTTATTCAAAGTACTTGGAATGAATGATATCACCTAAGAAGATTGAGACAAGCAAGTGGCAGAGAATTGAGTTCTGGGCCATCATAACATTAAAAGGCCGGAGAGAAGAAAAGGAACTAGGAAAGGAGACTGAGAAGGAAAAACACAAAAGATGAAAGGAAAACCAGCCATTCAAAGTATGCTGGAAGCCAAGAGAAGAGATTATGGAGGAGGAACTAGTAACCCCCTGTGCTAAGGCTGTGCATACCTGGATGAGAATCAAGAATTGACCACTGCGAAAATTTCAATGATCTTTAAGATCATTGAAAGAGGAGTGGAAGAGAAGAAAATAAAATCTCAGTGAAGTGTGTTTAATTGAAACTGGGCAGATAGGAACTAGAGACAGAGTATGGATAAATCCCTGGAAAGAGTTTAGCTACAGAAGAAAAAAATTCTGTCTGTAGTTAGCAGGAAAATAATGTCATGATTTCTTTTTTCCTCTAAGTTGAAAAGAGTGTCTGGACCCTTACATGCTGATTAAAAAGATCTAGTAGAGACAGACATATGGAAGTGTTGCATTTGTGCATTGAGAGAAAAGGGATGGAATCTAATACTTAGGCAGGAAATCAACTTTAAAGAAAATCGCAGGTTTAACCTATGGTGAGAAGGTAGAAGGAAAAACTTAGTACAGACCTAGGCCGGGGAGGAGATGTTATAGGGGTAGTCCAGAAATTCTCCTTCTGTAAACATAATGGCACAAATGTATTCATGATCTATGTACAAATGACTTAAAAATGAATAAATAATAAATAAAAATAAAATAAAAAGTTCTCCTTCTAATAGTCAGTTTTCTCGGAATAGGAAATAAGGGCATCAGCAGAGAGTGAGGATCAGAAAAGGAACCGGTGTTTAAGGATCAGATACGGTGACATATCCATCTAGAGAAGAGGAAAAGTGAATGAACAGACTAGGAAAGTGGAGTACCAGTGTCTAGGTGACTTGATGGGAACGTACAGGGGAGGCTCAGCTGGTTGAGGAAAGACGGCAAGAATGGAATTTTTCACTTTCAGTTGTGGAACTAGTTAGTGGTGGGAGAACCCATGGCCAAAATAATTAGACTCTGTCAAACTTGACAACACACGAAAATAAAGAAGCCTTTTTTTCTAAGCTTCAGATTCAAACATTTAGATCCATTATCCCAGGTATGCATATTCACGATCTATATGACTTTTGGAAAAGCTATCATCTGAATACTATAACAAAGGAAAATTATTTTTCTTGTGCATTAAATGACACTCCCAGTATCTCAGAGGGAGTCACCTACCCCTACTTTCTTGCTGTTCATGAGTAATTTATTTCCATTTCTATGATCACAGAAAAAGAGGAACTTCCACTTACCAGTATTCTTGTGGGTTTTCTCCCTGCCGCAACAGACAAAGTTCCTGAACTAATAAACTGTTTGAAAATAGGAAGTAAAACAGATAAAGGAATATTGTCAATCATTTTCTTCTCGGCCTTTCCTTCATTAGCTAATATCTAGTCAAAGTCATACACACCTTCTGAATTCGTATCTTAGAACACAAAATTATACTTGATGGTACTCGTTATTTTATATGACTAAAATTTTAAATTACTTTAGATTGAGTAAATTATATGATCTTTTCTTTGTGTATTATGTATGGCTTTTTACAGGTTTATGAGAGTGTGGCTACTTTAAAAACATATATGCAGGGTATCATAAAGTTCATGTGCAATTTAAAATAGCCAATTTTTTTTTTTTTTTGGAGTTTTTGGCTGGGGCCGGGTTTGAACCCACCACCTCTGGTATATGGGGCTGCACCCTACTCCTTGAGCCACAAGCACCACGCAATAGCCAATTATTTTAAGTGAGAGAGAGAGAGGGAGAGAGAGAGAGAGAGATACATATACATGTATATAATGTAATGATTGTAACTATATATAAACTATATATAGTTAATGTGATATAATCATATTTATGCTCATATTTAGAGCAAATGTAACTGAAACTTATTTATATACATATATGTAGATGGATGGATAATATAATTCTCATGTATTTACCCAAACTTCAGATAAGGAATTGATTTATTGCAGTAGGTATTCTGAAAGATCTTTTACAAATCTAAGTGTTCATATCTATATACCCTCTAAATTTTAAATTATTACTTGATACACTATTCTTTTTTTGATAAATTAAATTCTCTCTATAATTTTCTCCGAATTTTCATCCCATTTTTTACCTTTCTACCTTTTTACCAAGCCACTCCTGTGGATTAGGAGAAAAGTTTCCAAAATCACGGAGAGCAAAGGCTTGCTACACGAAATTCAACTATTGAATTCTGGTTGAACATGAAGGGAAAGGCTCTTCTCCCTTAACAATAACTAAGCTTCATCTCATCTTCATTCTGTAACCATGGACGAATCACTTCATCCATCTTGAATTGAATTGCATTTTTCTCTTTTGTGGGCATGTATTAGATCATCTACTGGCTTCATATTAGAATTGAGTACATTGGATACTTGCTTTTCCATTCCCGAGATACTTTACTAAGAAGAATGTGTTTCAACTCCAGATGTAAAGGCTCCATCTTTTTCTAGGGCTGAATAGTATTCCACGGTATACATACACCACAGCTTGTTAAGTCATTCCTGGTTTGGTGGGCATTTAGGCTGTTTTCACATCTTGGCAATTATAAACTGAGCTGTGATAAACAATCTAGTGCAAATGTCCTTATGATAAAATGATATTTTTCCTTCCTTTTTTTGTGAAGTGTGTTAATTTTGAGATTTACTTTGTACTTGAAAAATGTGATTTGTTTTAATCAGAAAGAAAGGGGCTTTAATAACCTGCTTGTGTCAAGAATTACAGATCAAAACTGCAGCATGCAACCTTCAAATAACCTATGAACAACACTTTCATAATAAGTATGTTTGTAGCAGTAACGTCTAAGGGAGGATCTATGCTGGGGAGTTTGAATACTCACGAACACAGCGCCCCACACTGGGTAGCCTGTGTAGAAGGTGAAGAAAAAGAAATGCTGAAAAGTTGTGCCACGTATTGTAAGGAGCCCAGAGAAACACCCAGAGCCAGAATCAGGGCTCTATTCAGGATCTGGATGGCCTGAAAGAAGCAGCAGCGGGGTGAGAGAAAAGCATAAGAATCTTATGCTGAAGTGTACATTGAAAACAGACCATTCAAATTTTCCTCAAAAAGAAATTGGCAGTGCTTGAAATGGTTAGAATGTCAAGCCTAAGTTAACTGAGCAAAAGCTCATGAGGAAGTTTTTTGTCCTGCGCTATCCCCACCAGTTGCAGTGACAACCCCCACTCCTTTTCACCTCTCCCCATGTTTCTGTTCATCTTCACACATTGCTCTCAAAAGTGGCATAAGAGTAAGGGAGACATGGCTGGAAAGATCAGTGGGATCAAAATACCTTCCCAGCATGCTTTAGGGCCCTCATATAACAAAAGCAGACAGATGTTAAGAAGTTTTCTACTCAGCCTCTCCCTCAACTCTTTAATTTTAAATATGGAATCTGAGCTTCATAGAGTTTGGCCTCCTGATACGAGTGGTCAAAAGGCACAAAGGACAAATGAAAGGTCCTGGAATCTATTTTCCAAGGTTTGATAAAGATGTTTTCTGCCATGAAAGAATTTCAGCACTTCTAATCTCGAAGTCTACAGTTAGTCTCATTTGACTTTTCTCCAATTTATCATTGACTCAGTGATAAATAACTCATAAATTCTTCCTTAGCAACATACATAAGGTTTTCACATGAGACGGTTGACCCTGGAACAACTTGGTAGCTTGGGGTGCCCACCCTTATGCAGTTAAAAATCTGCATATAACTTTTGACTCCCCATATCTTAACTGCTAATAACCTACTTCTGGCTAGAAGCCTCATCAATAACGTTACTAGCATATTACCACATATTTTGCATGTTATATGTATTATATACCATATGTATACCATAAAGTAAGTTAAAGAAAATGTTATTAAGAAAATCATAAGGAAGACAATATATTTAGTACTTAGTAAACTGAAACAGATTATAAAGATCTTTATACTGATACTCATCGTCTTCACATTCATTAGGCTGAGGAGGACGAAGAGGAGGGGTCAGTATTGCTGTCTGAAGGGTGGCAGACAGAGGTGGAAGAAAATCCACGTGTAAGTGGACCTTGCAGTTCAAACATGTATTGTCCAAAGGTCAACTGTATTTATTTTCCTACATAGTAAACCTATTTTTATATTAAGGCTGACTTACTCCAAGGGCGAGTAGTTCTCCCTTTTGGCAGTCTTGTGACCCATCAGTGGGCTGGTAAACAGAATTATTCCTGCCCTCTGACTCTGCCCAGCCACCTGGAGCACCACTCGATGAGGCTGTTCCCCGCTCTGCATCATCTGCGTCTTGAGAGGCCATCTGGGGGTAGTTTATGGCTATGATGGAAAAGAAATCCAAAGGCTTGACTGTCATAGGAGGGCTTAATTCTTTCCATACATCAAGATGACCTGACAAATGGCACATGAGGACATAATAATAGAGTTTGTAGAACTCTACTGGAGTACGCCAGATAGCTTCCGGTCATTGTAGTAGGCCTGAGTGCTTGACTAACTGGGATGGTAAGGAGCAATTCCTTTCCCATTTTTACATACACTGATATATAGTCCCTGCCTCTCTTCAAATCAGTCCTGGACAGTCAGGCATATGATTTCTCCGAGCAGCGGTCTCTTATGTGAGTGTAATGACTTGAGTCACATTCCAGTAATAATAAGTACTGTTTTTTGGTTTATTATGTGCCAGGCACTGAATAATTGCTATGAATGCATTAATATATTTAATCCTCCCAACAACTCTATGTTGTAATATTATCATTCCCATTTTACAAATGAGAAAAGAGGCATAGAGAAATTGAGAAACTCCTTATACAGCTTGTAAGTGATTTCAGATTCTAGAGATGTTCTACTCCAAGGAGCAGTATTTTTTTAAATCATCACATGATATAGCACCATATAGATGATGTCTTTCTTGGTAGCAATATACCACAGTGGAGTTTAAGCATTATGGAAGAGCCAAATTCAAATCCAGATTTGGTCATTTACTAGTCGCACGGCCTACCAGAGAGAACCCTGTTTTCACATCTGTAAAAGGAGAGTAATTTGAATTTTATATTACCATTGCAAGGGGCAACTTTGATAATGTATTGAATTCTTAACCTAGAACAGCTGGTATCAATTCTTAACTTACACTGCTTTGTACCAAAAAGTACTTAAAATTTCACATATTACTGGCCACCAAACGACTACCTCTTTAGACAATAATTATGTCTAAAAAACATGTATTACTAAAGCACACATAGAATGCTCATACAACAGTCCTGAATGTTGAGCAATGCAGCTTTCTGTTACATGGTATTCTCCAAGACAAAACAATTGCAAAACACCTATAGGCTTTTATAACTGATAAGGGAAACAGTGTGAGGTTAAACATAAGTGCACTAACTCCTGCCAATTCTATTAACTGAGTTTACAATAGGATTTTAATTCCTACATTTTGTTAGAAATTATACAGCAGATCCACTTCTCTAATGAATTTTTTGTCAAAATAAATATATGCCCTTTCCTTTCAAGATGTTTACCTTTCTAATTTTCTACTATAGAGGCACGATTCACACTTATTCAAGGGTGGTAACACATTTCTCAGATACTAATTCAAAGGAAAATGAGGGTTTGTAGTACTTTTTCTAATTTTGTCACACTGGGAATGGCTATGAAATTTTTCTGAAAGTTTCCTAACAAGACCAATAAAAAGTTTATCATAAACTTTATAAAATTGTCCTACTAATCACCTTTATAAAAGTTTTTTACCAATACCAATTTTCATGCTACCATTAAATTACATTCTCTATTTAAACATTGACACATGTGAAATGACACCACCCACGTTCAACACCAAGCACAGAATCCGAGCATGAGGGGAAAACCTATAAAGCTTATGGCGAACTATGTTAAGGAATGCTAATTTCATTATGTACCAGGAGTATAAGTACAGCAAAAGTAAAATAACCTTATTTAAATCACTCTCCCATTCATGTTCAAGATCATCTTGTGAAGCCTAGGCTTAAAATTTATCCAGTGGAGATAAACTGATGTTACATGACATATTCTCAGTTAGAGGTGGGAGCTGAATGGTGGGTATATGTGGTCATACAAAGTGGACTAATGGACATTTGAAAATAGGAAGGGAGAAGGATGGGAGGGGGTGAAGGATCAAAAGTCACTATTGGGTACAATGTACATTATTCAGGTGACGGGTACACTAAAAGCCCAGACTTCACCACTATGCAATTCATTCATGTCACAAAAAACACTATACCTTGAAACAGCTAGTAAGCTGTGTGTGCTATGGGGGGTGTTGCTCCTTTATGATCAAGTTATCACTTGCCCATATCTCCAGCCTCATTCCTCACCTCTCCCGCTCTCAGAGCTCTGTCCAGCCCTATTTTCGTCCAGTCTTTAGAAGCTCCGAGCCCTCAGATGTCTGCCTTCCTTGCCGGCACTGTTCCCAACTCCTGAAACAGGCTTTCTTTCAAGCTTCCCATCGACACCTGCTGCTCTTCCTTCAGACCAATCCTCAGCCCACCTGTCATGCTCTCAGCTATTTTAGCTTAGTCCTGGCCAGGGCCGGATGCCACACTCCTTTCCTCACATTCAGAATTTCTTAACTTTCCTTCTCATACCATTCATCAGCCTAAGCATCAACTGCCTGGTTCCTTGTCTGTTACCTTGTTATGTTCTCATCAGTATAACTCCAGTACCAGCTCAGTGTCATCATATGCTAGGCACTCAGGTAAAACACATTCAATAAGCACATAAGCTTTCTGTCCAGCCTGATGTAGCCAGACCCTATGGATGATAATGGGAAATGCATCTATAAGCACTAAGAGCTTCTTGTACCCCAAAACTCCAGAGCAGTTCAGGAGGGAGAAAATCTGACTGTACTATTTAATTTGACCTGTTTTAAATAATCAGAGAGAATTTTGCCCTTCAGGTAAAATAAATTATAATCTACAAAATTTGGTCAAGTTAGCTTATTTCTTTAAAAAAAAAAATCAGAGAGCTGTAGATTTCCCAGGAACCTACAGTTAGGTTCACCTCTCCAGCTCTTAGCATGAGGCAGGCATTGTTCATGTTTGCTGATTTAGTTCTCACAACATCCACATAAAGGGGTATTGCTATTATGATTCTTCCCATTGAACAGCTGAGGAAGCTGAAGAACAGAGAATTTAGGGAACAGAACCAGGCCATCTAGTTCTAGTTGTCATTACACTATACTGTCCCCAGGGGACTATTCTGGGAGTATGAGTTCATGCTGAAACTCACTTGCCAAATCCCATACCTCAGTTACGTCCAGAGCTCGCAGGCAAACTCAGGTGCAGTTACTGGGATTTACTGGTGGGGGACCAGGTACCTACATTGTTCTAAAGAAATAATTGTATTATTACATCTCACATTTTTAATCATGGCTCCAGAGTAACAATCTCATTCTAAGGCAGCGGTTCTCAACCTGTGGGTCGTGACCCTTTTGTAACAATGAAAATACATCCTGCCTCTCAGATATTTACATTACAATTCATAACAGTGGCAAAATTACAGTTATAAAGTAGCAACGAAAATAATTTTATGGTTGGGGGTCACGGTTACAGTAATGAGGAACTGTAAAGGGTCACGGCATTAGGAGGCCTTAGGAAGGCTGAGAAGCACTGTTTAAGGGAAGGTCACCTGCACAGCTAAATATTCCAGATCTCTACACAGCGACAAAGCAGAAAACTTTACAGACAGCTCCTGTTGCCCCACTGAGAGGCACCTTTAACAGGTGGAAAAGGGAATTTGGGCAGAAAGGGAAGCTGTAGGGTTTACCTTGGCGGCTTCAGGCTTTGGCTAACTTCTTTCCTCCCAAACACATCTTCTCGCCAAGTAGGAGATACTCAGTAATGGTCACTATAGTGTCTTTCTGGAAAAACGGCAGCCTCTTCAGGCTTAACGTATCTTTGCCTTATGCAATCCTTCCCGGAGTTGGTGCAGATGTGCTGCGGGCTGATGGGTGGGCTGCTCACATCTGCCTTTGCAGCTCTCTCCTCCATCTGCTTCCCCACGGCTTAGTGATGATTAGGAAACTGGTGTCAGGGGTAACTGTCTTCTGGTTTTCAGATGTTGCTTAACATGTTGTTAGAACAAGAAATATAAACAGCAAATACAGGTAGATCAACGGAAAGGTCTTGTGGGGTGGAGGTAGAACAGAGTCAGTTGCATACTTGATGAGATAAAGCCAGACATTACAAATTGTCTAGAGAAGAAAGGACGTCCTGTCAGGTGCTTGTTGTCCAAAATGTGCCAGCAATGCTGCTATACACCTTGCAGGCATGATCCCAGCCAGTCCTCACAGGCTTCCAGGGGATAATTACTTTACCCAATATCATAATGTAAATTGTGGCTTAAATACATTGATTACTATGTACACATCCCTGTTTTAAATTCTTTACAGATATTAACTCATTTCATCCTCATAATAACCCAGAACCTAGATACTACTATTAAGCCAGTTTTACAGAAGAGAAAACTATGGCCTAGAAATGTTAACCAGCTTTCCCAACGTTTAACCAGCAAAGCCTTATGCTCAACCCAAGCCATGTCTGTTAACCCGGGGTGATTGTTAAAATCTCTCCTTTCATGATCTACCTAGATAAATAATTATTCTAAATAAATAAGTGTCCTACATTGGAAAAGATCAGAGCCAGGTGACAGGGTGAGAGGCAGTAGGCAACATGAGCTCACCAAAAAAGGCTTGACAAGAAGGCACAGAACCAGGACACTGCCCTGACCCTTACAACAAAGTGAGTCATAGTCCTACAAACACAAATGGGAGCAGAAGTGGAGACTTGGTCCTAGGAAAGAGAAAGAAGGCCGTACCAAGACCGAAGGACAGTCTGGGGAGGAGAGATCACGCACATGAGTGGAGCAGGAGCCCAGCAGCCAGACAAAAATGCACAGTGCTGCGATCAGGGCTGGCACCTGAGCCTCAGAGGGTCTAGTTTAGGAGCCAGGGAAGAAGACAGACGGATGGCATCGATGGTAGAGACTGAGCTCACAAGGAAACGGCTGAAAGCATTGTGGGAAAAGATACAATCCTTCCTTCACTATTTTAGCCAAAGCCACTATAAATGGAACAGTGAGAAAAAAAGTTGACAAGAAAGCACCTTAAGGGAAGGAGAGGAAGAAACATGCAGAAGTAAAATAGGGGAAAAAGTAGATCCTTTCAACATGCTTGTTTTGAATATGGAGCAGCAGAAAGAGTGAGCTGTGAAAGGAAGTTACTCAGACTCTTAAGACTTCAGTTTCTCCATCTGCAAGTTTAAAGTCATA